AGCAAAAGCAAAACCAAATAAGTTGAGGTCTGAAACATTAGGGGCCGTAATATGCCAGGGACCCCGAAAGGAGAAATGCCTTGACAGACACTATGTGATATTATCTGGTTATGCCTTGGGTTTAGGGTTTAGGGTTTGGGGGTTCAAAGTGTGAAGTTCCGTGGGTTGATGTCCAGAGAATCTATGGCAGTGTTGACCTCGTGTTAAGAACCCCTGCGTAAACCCAAATCCCAGAACGTAATTACACCCCCCCAGAAAAATCTAATCTGCCAGAACTCAAAAACTTGAAGGGGCGGAAGAGCAATGTGTACCACTGGCGCGTACTACTATTGGCTGCGATGACCGGAGCGTCAGCTCATGGACCCGAATACCATTAATTACGGAGGCTCGGGCCCACATCCTCGCGGGGTGTGTGGGGGGAGGGTGGGGTTTCTTATTCTGAGGTGAACATTAAGAGGTTTGAAGGGTGCATAGTTTCTGTTCCAAACTCTGAGTCCCCAAACCCTAAAGCCCTGAACCCTTAACTCAAAATCCCCATACCCTAAATCCCCGAATCCCTAAACCCGTAATCCCCGCCCTAAATCACCCAAGCCCTAAAAAGCTAAACCTAAATCCCTACACCTAAACCCTACAAACCCTATAAACCCTACAAACCCTATAAACCCTATAAACCCTATAAACCCTACAAAGCCTCTAACCGTATAAACCCTATAAACCCTAAACCGCGTGAGCCACCTCTCCGAAGCTCAGCTGGCTTTCACCGTCTTCGCCTCGCAACGTCAAGGCGAAGCCGAAGTGACGAAAGCCGCCGGCAGTCTGCACTGCCTTTTAGGATTTCTAGGGCTTAGGGCTTTTTATGGGGTTTAGGGTGAAGGGGGGAAAAAAGAGTTCTCTACAACTTTCTAGGGCTATATGGTTTAGGATTTGTAAGGTTTTGAGTTTGGGGGTTTATCCAAGGTTATATAGAGTTCTATACGGCTCTATAGGGCTATATGGCGTTCTTTGGGGTCAGATAGGGTTGTATAGGGCTATACAGGGTTCTAGGTTTAGGGTTTAGGGTTTAGAGTTTAGGGTTTAGGGTAAGTTATAAGATGTTGGATTTAAGGTTTAAGGTTGAATTAGGGTTGTGGCTCAAGGCTGTGGGGGGGGAGGGGTTGGGGATTTGGTAAAACTTACAATAGGAATACCTGTGTTGGGGTCCCCATCAATAAGGGTTGCAGCATTGTGGGGTCTGCATTGCAACGCCCCTATTCATGGAAACTACCATTTCGGGCTTAATGGAAGCGAGGGTTTAGAGTTGGGGATGTAGGGTTTGAGGGGTCTGGGGGATTGAAGCTGGGATTATGTGACAGCCGGTCGGGCCAAGGGATTTGCGGCACTTGCTGGTGCTTGAAAGGGGAGCGGAAGTCTCACTCTCCTCAAAACCAGCAAGCTTCGGGAGATTGAGAAGAAAATGTTTAGGGTTTCCTACTAGTGGCTAATGAGGCATGAAAGACTGCAAAAAACAGTGGAAACTGAGAAGCTAGTTAGAATTTCAGGTTTGAAGGAATGCGCTCTGGGGACCATCATAAGCAAATGTGTATAATGCATAGGGACCATTGCGAGGATTTGGGGTCCTCTTGCTAGAAGTCAGTAGCAAAAGGAGGAATGGATCCCTATAGTAGTCCCCATACATAAATCCCCAAGTTTGTAAACCATAACCCCTGAGCCCTAAGCCCTAAATCCTGAACCCTAAACCCCCCTATCATGCCTCAGGCTTGGCAAAGAAAACTGAAATTACAGTTTGAAGCATTTGTGAATGGAAAAAGGCAACGAAAAGATCCCTTTCCTCCATTCCCTATAAACCATCCATAAATATTGGAAAGCTGGAAAGCGCCGGCTTAGATGGAGTTTAGGGGCCTAGGGAATAAGGAAAGGGGAAGAATGGTCCGGCACTGCCCTTAGTGAAATCTCCCAGAATCGCGTTTGTTTTTGAAAAGCTCTTCTGCAAGGAGTGCCTGTACTTGGGGGCCCAAGCCCTGCACCCTAAACCCCAAATTTCGCTAAGCTGTCCCCCGAAGTGCTTTGTGCGTACTTGGAGCGCCTTGGGGTTGAGGGTGTAGGGTTTAGGGTACAGCTTCCTCAGTCCTAGTCCTCAATGTTGGGCTTCAGTCTGCCCTGCATTTTGCCAATTTTGGGGTCCCAATATGTACTACTTACGTGAGGTTCAGCGTTCAGTGGCATGTAGAGCACAGCCCTTACCCTTAACACCTGGGTTCGTACGCCTCCAAAACCTAAGCCCCTTAACCCGACATGTTCGGCGTCCGTTTGGGTAGACGATCAATAAAAGTCCAACCTTTTAGTTACGGTTGCTATTGCTAGCTTGACCCCCCCAAAAATGATTAGAAACATGGCCCACAACCCACGCAAAGAGTGAAAACACGGCTTTGGTTCTACATACTTTTGGGTTGGGGTATTGCTGTTACTAATCATAAAACCGTAACACGCCCTAGTATTTCCCAAAGCCACTGCCACCTGTAGGAAGCTAAAGTTCGTCGGCGCTTGCTGCAGGCCATTCAACCCCAACCCCACCAGTCCTTGGTCAACTCCGAAATTAAAGTTTAGGTTAGGGTTTAAGGCCTAATGAGGATTTAGGCCTTAGGGTCCATAGGGTTTAGGGATATCTCCCTAAGAATGGAATCAAATGGGATGGGATTCTAAGTTTATAGGGTTCAGGGTTTAGGGATGAGGGGGTTTCTCTCTGATTTTAAATCAGAGGCCTTGGGGCCCAGAGGATCTTGAAGGAGATTCTATGAGTCCCGGCGCTGAAAGATTCTGAAATGGACGATTGTGCTACGGTTAAGGGTTTCATTAGGGGTTTAGGGGTTTGAAAAAGGAGTGTAGGGGTTTAGGGGTTCAGGTTTTAGGGTGTAGGATTGTCGTGTGCAGCTCATGGGCCGGGGGCTTCAGCTCTAGGGCGAGGAGCGTGGAGGTAACCTTTCCCCAGATATTATGGGTGCCTAAATCAATTAAAAAATTCCTTGTGAGGTCTATTTGAGGTACCATAAACTATAATTATACAAGGAATATGGAACCATAACGTTGGTAATTATCCCTAAACCCTAAACCCTGAGGAATATGAAGCTTAGGCCCACAGGAGGTTCCATCTAGGTTTCGGGGAGGGTCAGCTTCGAGTATGTCGGGCGCTGTGGGCTTAAGGTGCTGATTCGGCTCGAGGATGCCCGAATAAGTCGCAAGGCGGGATGACGTATGGATTTGTGTGAGAGGCACGCTTTAGGTGTAAGGTTCGGGCTTTATGGTTTGAGCTTTGGGATTTTGTCTTGGGGGGCTAGCCCAAGGGTCCCAAAGGTAAGGCTTTTGATGGAGGAGGTGAGAGCTTCAGGCACAGGGAGGCTACGACCTAGTACCTTTTGGTGGTTCCTAACACCCTAACCAAAACCTAACCTAAACCCCAAGTCCGACACAAAAAACGGAGGACCTAGGTAGTCTTCAGACTTAAGGAAGGCTTTCTGCCACGCATACGTAGCGCTTGTTTGGGTTTAGCGTTCAGGGCGGCTTGAAGGATCATATCGATATGCCGCGATTCCAGGCAAATTCTCAGAGGGTTTCCGTGCGGATTCAACAAAGGCATTCTTTGAAAGGCCGTGGATAGGGTTGAAAGCGTTGGTGCGAGGAGGGTAAGGCTTTGGGCGTGAGGCTGGGGGCTACGGCTTGGTTCATGTCTCAGGTCTACCTGGACCCCCTAAGTATGTAGAATAATGGCCCTTTGGGCTATATTTAGGGGTTTTGGGCCATTATTTTACCTACTTTGGGGGTTTAGGTAGGTTTTAGGACTACGCTTTTAGGAGTTCAGCCTGTGTGGCCGGCGCAGAGTATGTTGCCATGGAGATGTCAAGATCCTTGGCCTATTCACTTCGGTGGCTGTCAAAATTATGATCCCTTTTTGGGTACTCTAAATATTAGGCGCCGTATTACAATAGGGATCCAAAAAGGGACCATAATTTTGACAACCACCCACTTTGCAAGCATTCCAAGCAGCATGTGTCATGTACTGTAAGGGAGAATTAGCGCAGATGCCGTGAAGAACCAAACGGCATTGGTGCAGCGAAACAATGAAACGTGAAGTGGGCTTAGGCTTGAGGACTTAGGGTTTAAGGTTTTAGGCTAAAGGCTTGTATACTTAAGATGTTGGAAGCCGTGGGCCTTACCGAGATGCAGTGACGCTCAGTGAATACTCCCAACTAGCCAAACGTCACGAACCCTCACCCCTATGAATCCTAAATCCTAAGCCCCCATCAATGTCAGGAGTTCCTTAAACACTATGGGCTAGTAGACCCTAAAATTCCCTATTAGGACCCTAATAAGGTTCATTAAGGTACCCCTTCAGGTCGAATAGCCCATAGTGGTAAACCCTCCATAAGGATGAACCCTGGGAAAGACGTCTGTCAACGTCGGGGGTTTGAACTGGAGGAGCTTTACTAGATTCCCAGATATTGGAATATATAGGGATTCTATAGGGATAATGGAAAAGCAAATGGAAACTACAGGGTTTATAGGGGTTATATAGGGATTATATAGGGATTATAGGGTATATATCCCAGCAATCTCTTTAGAATGAGGGTACCCTTTTACCGAGTGACCAGCTTTAAATAGGAGACCCTGAAAAGGAAGGGGGAAAAGGGTACTACTAGCGTACCTAGTTACAAGTAACTGGGTGTTTTCAACCGTTGAGGACCCACGATTCAAACATTTACTATCGACACCCTCCAAATACGACCCCTAATTTTCCGGATCCCTCCAAATTACGCCGTAATCTTGGAAGCCCCCAAAGTAAGGTAGATCAAAAGACGAGGTTTGTGTATAGTTGGAGCTTCATCTTAAGCCCCTGAACAGCAACCATGATATGATGTCTAACATTCTGAATATTACTATTTTAGCTGCGTCGAACACCAAATATAAGCCTTTTGTGTGTTATCATGACTGCCTTGCAGCCCAGACTCCATCGAAGACTGAAAGCTGCTCCACACCCATGATCTTCACTGCCAGCATTAGTTCCAGATACTTCACACACAGGGCCTGCAGGCAAAAGAGGAGTGCTCTTCTCCATCATTATAGGGGTTAGTGTTGAGGGCATGATAGCACGATAAACCCTAAACCCCAGACCCTAAACCCTCCATAAGATATTGACTGGTTACAGCTTCGGCCTTCCCTACCGAGGATATGCTTGAATTGCATCAGCCCTCTCTGTTCTGTTGAAATCCACGAAAATCTGCGGATTGCCCATGAATATCTTGTATCCAAGAATTTGTAGAAGCGACTCGACTGAGAGAGGCAGGATTGCAATGACAACCCCAGGACACTACATCCTCGTCCCTTCTAGGAAGGTTGAAGCGATAAGGGCTTATTGCGGCAAATAAGCCTGTGGGAAATTAACGGCAATCAGTTGGAGGAGCTTGCAGTACCGGATGCTGCTTGGGGCCCCTAAACCCTAAAAGCCCCTAAACGGATCTGGTCCTGGGGCCAGTAATATCTACCTGTCCCTCTCCGTTCAACCTTCTGGACCTGCCCTGGGTTTATGGTTTCGGGTTTTAGGGTTGGTACGAACCAAGAAGGACATTTCTGTAAAGGGGGGTTATACTAACCAAGGACGACACCTTTGCTGGCCTTTGGTTAGTTGGGAATGAAGGAAATGCATAAGGAATTCCTTTATTCCCAGCTAGCACTAGGTAATGCTACAATATTTTCACCACCCATAGGTAGCCAGTCTAGAACTCTGGTTACAAAACAACGCCGCCATTTGGGGTGAGGTCGGTTGAGGTCGTCGCAACTTGCCCAGTCCATAGGTAAACCCTTGCCCCAACCCTAAAGCCGAAACCCTGGACCCCAAAACGCTAAAACCCTAAACACTAGAACCTAAACACTAAACCTAGACCCTAAACACTGAACTTAGACCCTAAACCCTAGACCCTAAACCCTAGACCGTAAACCCTGAACCCTCTCCTATCAACCTTAAGACTACTCTTCATTGGAGCCACGGACCTCGATACAGATGTGCTCCTCTACGACGGGAAGGGCAATGACTGTACCCAGTCCTGAGATGAAGACTTCTTCAAAGGTACAAAAGGGATTAGGGCTTATGAAGTAGGGTTTAGGTTTTGGGATTAGGGTTTAGGGTCGAGGGTTTAGGGAGATCACCTCAAGAATGGAAGGTCAAAAATGGAACAGAAAATGATGGATAGAATCTGGGTACTGCCCCCTCCCAGTAACAGTCTATATTAGGGGGGTACTATTAAGGGCTCTATATATATAACCATATCATAATTATTAACTGTTGCCGTGGAGACTTGGAGATGAATTCAGAATTACATCGGGGCTTATATTAAGCAACAAGAGGGTTTTGGTAGTAAGCCCAACCAACCCTGAGAATTTACGACCCGTTAGCTGTCACATGACTAGAGTGGTCGTAATGCGAGGGTTTTGGAGTTGCCAAAGCCATCTTCTTCAAAACCAAATGTCTCACTGGGTGTACTTGTAACTCTAAGTTCCCTGAACCCCTCGCAGAAATTAGAATTTCAGCTGGTTATTAGGGTTATAGATAACAGAAATCAACAATTGTTTTCGAGGAACTTCCAGCTAACCTTGCTGAGGGTCTAGGGATGTCCAGGGTGTAGGGGCCCAAGCTATAGGGTTTAGATTCTAATCAGGGCTGCACGGGCTTTGTTACAAGTAGGTGATCAGTACCCCTGGACCTCCGAGCGCTTAAGGTGTATGGTGAAGGTAACTGTTGAACCCGGGGGGTTCTGGCGAAAAGACGTTCGAACTCATGGTGGCAGAAGTCCGTAATGGATCTGGTACTCCTGCATGAGCGCGTGTCCAGTCGCGTTGTCTGTCAGTGGCAGCACACTTACCTGGGCTTCTGCAGGACAAGTTCTACTGTGGATGGGGGATACCTCGCATGCTGAGAACCTCTGTGATACAGCAAATCCCGCGTGTAAGCTGTATTGGGCGGCAGAAGGTTTGCTTCATCCACCGTAACTGGGTAATGTTATCAGGTAGGATTTCTGCTGGCGGTCACTCCGGAACTCGCATCCACACCCACCAATATTCCTAGGTTTGCTTGCTAGGAAAGGATCTGGGTTAGCCCCATCGCACGATAGGGACCCTTTGGTTATCATATGACTCTTATCGGGTCTGTACAACAAGATGTGAGGTAAAAGTTTAGGGCTCCAATGTCATGTGCACTCACCACAACAACCCCAGAAATCCGACCGGACATGAGCCTTTGCCGAACCTCCTAAAAAAGATGGAAAGAAGGGTTCAGGGTTCATAACATGACTCTCTGGCTACAGATCCTCGGTCTTGCACACGGAAGGATAAGATAAACGCTACGACAAACTTGAGGTTTTCACGTTCGTGTCCACTCCTCACCAATCCTATAATGAAGTTAACCCGAACCCTAACCCGAGAATACGTTTTCTTTGCCCGATTGTCTGTTTTGTTGCTGGCCCTGGCTACTTTTAAAAGGGGCAGCTATGATCCCCCTAGTAAGGAAGTAGGGGGTTTCTGCCGTAATCAGAGGAGTTGTTATATGGAATAGTCAGGAATGAGGAGTCTCCCAAACTTCCTGATCTTAAACCTCTAAAAAAGACACTCTACAAACAAGAAAGTTTAGCAGGAATTCAATTGAAACTACAGATTTCGATGGTGCCTAGATTTGTGTTGTTTACATGAAGTGCTGCTAATGTCCGTGTTGGTTGATTTTACCTGGGTTTTACATGAGGTAACTGGTTTTGTTTGATTTTCATCAAATTTGAAAGGATTGTTGTGGGATTTCCAATGAACTTTACTTGAGCGTAGTGAGTTTGAGCTGGTTCAAATTAGTTTTCGAGCTGAACTGAAATCGAATTGCACTTGGCTTCAGTTCGAGTTTAGCTACCCTTAACCACATTCTGCATTGGTTCTACCTGGGTTTTGAAGTTTTACCTGATTGTACATCATTCTTACTGGTTTCCATTCAGCCTCATGCGTTTTTAAGTGGAGCGCAATCAGATGTTCAATTCGTTTTTGCAGGTGCTCAACCAATTCTACTTAGACGCTTCATTGAGATTGATTTGATTGAAGACTGATTTTAGTTGAGGTTTTTCATTAACTTCACATTATTCTTTCAGGCCGTTTTCATTAGATCGTTACTGGTCGTACCGAGATATGAACTTTGTTCATTCATTCAGATTTAGCTGAGGTCATTGAATTTATGCTTTTCGCGAAACGTGCAATGGAATTCAAGTAAGTGTTTTAAATTGGCTTGAACGAGTTTTGAACTGATCGTTAATTTGGTGTCATCGTTTGCTTGATGTGACTTAGGTTTTATCTGGTTTTAAGCGAAATCTAAGAATTCAATTCCAGTTTGGTTGATTCGAGAGGGCATTCCTTTTTGAATTATTGAGCTTCTCTATCTTATCAGACAGGCCGCTATTTGCCCTTTACAAAGGCCCTGATGGTCTTTTGATCTTGGGTTTTTACTTAGGGGACGTTCATTATTCGGGGAAGCGATTGCAATCTATTTTCATCTTCCTCATTGGGTGGCAGAGTACAACGAAACTTTGAAAGTATTACATATCCCTCACCCTACACCCCTATCTTGTGCGGCTGAAAGACATGCGTTTTGCCGTGGTAGTGTTCGACGGCAACCTCCGGTTTCAGCCAGAAATCGCCGGATCCTTGTCGACGGATTAGGGTTTAGGGGTTTAGGGTTTATTTTACCTTTGGCTCGTGTAGGATATTACCTGGATGAAGCTTGGATTCTTCCCCTACCTGGGTGTAGGAGTTCAAGGCTTGCACGGGGGTACATTTCTCGGATTCCAAATCTCGTCAACCCTGAACCCTAAATACTAGAGTCCAAACCCTAAACACTAAGACTTTGGAACCCCAACATGCTACATTGTCGGATCTCTGGAGATCATGTTGCAGGGTCGGGATTTGGGGCGCCGTTTGGGGTTTATAGGGCTGACGGTATAGGGTTTGAAAATAGGTTTTCGTGGGTTTAAGGTTTGGGGTTTGAGTTTAGGGTTTCGGGGGTACCGATCATGATTTTGGGAAACTGCAACCATGATTTTAGCACATCTTGGCTGCTTCTTCGGAAGAACAGTAAGCCAAAGGGCTTCTGATGCGGAATTCCTACAAGCTTTCCAACTAGACCCCAAACGTAAGTAAGCCTCGAAACCCTCAGACCCTAAATAAATCTCAAACCCTAAAACCTCAATCCTGAACAAGACAAAACTATGGAGCCAAGACAAAAACAAGGGAGCTGGACGGGGTGAGATGGCATCACCTGGGTTTGAATCTCGACCCCTTTTTCCCTACACGATTGAAAGCTGCAAATGTTGCATTTCCAAAACCCTTGAGGCTTCCAGGATCCTTGCCAAAGGGGATTCCAGAAAATGGCCCCTAAACCCTCCACCCTGTAGATAAGAAGGTAGAAACTCCCATTCGATTTGTTTCTGCCCAGTAGCAAACAAACCCCCAACTCCCCAATATTGAGTCCTCTGACCCAATATAAACAGAACCTGAAAAGGGGTCCCTGGCAGACGACTGTGTTTGGAGGGGCTCCCCGAACAGCGTGTCTTGGTGATTGAACCAAATAAGAGTATGTTCTGTAACCCTCTAAACCCTAAACCGTGCACCATAATATCCCCAAATCAAACACGACTCATATGGTGTTGCGTCCGAGCTTGGGGGAAGGTACGCCCCACAATATGAGCTATAGTCTAAACTCCTAGCATCCCCCTTAATAACCCCTATATTAGTCCCCTATATAACCCCCTATATAATCCCCTTTAAGGAGCGTAGACTACAGCTCCTTTAGTGTTGGGTCTACTGGGTTGCTGATAAGGAACTTAAATTAAGTTACGTTAATGGGTATATATAGTAAATAATAGGGTTTTCCCCAATATAGTAGCCCTAAACCCTAAAC